ATTTTTATTTAGATTAGTCTGGGCAGTAAGCAACTCAGTTTCAGTGGCAGAGTTATTCTGAACAGTAACCTCAAGCCTCTCAACCTCTTTCTCAGCAGATAAGACATTGGAAAATACATTTTTAAAAGTTTCCCAACCTCACTTCCTCAATGCTTTGTTGGTTTTCTGATGCAGAAGTCTTAGCTTAATTAAAGGGCCAGTGTGTTCAATTCCCATCCAGTTAGAAGCCACACAATTAATGAAAAGGGGTTGGGTAGACCACATGTTTAGATATCTGAAAGGAGGGTGGAGTGAGGTAGTACTTGGAGAAGTTATGGAGATGAGGAGTGGTCTGTGGTCTGAACCAGTGAGAGTTATGTGGGTAAAAAAAGTAAGGAGGTAATGTTTTTTCCAGTGGTCATTAACTAACTTCCTGTCAAGTCTTTCCCACAGAAGACCCCTCTTCCAAGTGAACCTAGGACCCTGATATCCCAAGTCAAACAAACCAGCCTGCTGAATTTGGTCATTAAAATAAGTCATTTTGGACAGGTTGGGAGGGGAGGTCTCCTCCCTCCAGATTTCTCAGCTGCATTAGTGATACAATTGAAATCTCCACCTACTATCCAAGGAGAATCCATATTAGTGATGATGAGATGTAAGCCCTTCCAAAACTCCTATCTACCAGCTTTCAGACTACAAACATAAATAAAAGTAGCATACTCCAGATGGCCTTGTACAAGCAGTGAAAGGTGTATGACAGTGAAAGGTGTATGAACTGTATTTCTTGAAAGGTGTATGAACTGAGGATATAATGCTCCAGTGTATTTCTGTATTTCTTTCCTACAAAAGAAACAAATTTTATTATTTTTGTTAGCATAGTGAGAAAAACCACAGAATCTTTGAATAATTCTCTATGAGTTATGCTGAACCAAAGGTTCAAGAATATCAGAGCACCACAGTTTGTATTTTTTGTTCAGATAAATCAGTCTTTTTAAAGACTGAGGATGGGCTATGCCCCTAATATTCCAACACAGCATATTAATCATGGGGGGAATTATAATGGGGAGAAGGCTGAGATCTTGATCTGGTCCTTCTTCTAGAAGGAGGAGGTCCCCCCATCTTCAAAGCTTTTGTGAACCCTATATTACCATCCTTAATTTCTGCACTTCAAACTGAACCTTTTTCTTCTTTTTAGATTTTTGTGTTTGCCATTCCTCTTCCATTATGTGTTTCATCTCACCTATAACATTCTTCTGAGGAGAGGAGCTTCTATTACAAGAGTAGTAGTAGTTTTCTGGTTGAACTCCTTGGATTGCACCACCTCATCTAAAGGAACTGATAAAGGTGTTATAATATTTATCTTATTCACCTCCTCCCTTATTTGTCTGGGGGAAGTATTAGTCAGATCTGTGGAGCCAAATGGAGTTGTAGAGCTTCTGGGTGTATCTAGCATGTCCTCCAAATTCCCAGTTGGAGAGGGTTCCACACCAACGGAAGTTTCTGAGGGAATAGGCTGAGTATACCTTTCTTGAGTTACCACAATCTTCTTTGGGGGGGGTGAAGCCTGAAACATCTATCCTTGGTGTGTCCAAACATCCTGCAGTGATGATAGTAGTATGGTTTCTGTTCTAACCTCACTTTTTGCCAGAATCCCTCTTTGTCATTAACAATCCAAATCCTATTGATTTCAGGAAGAGTTAAATCTTTTTCAATGAGAATTCTGGCTAGCTAAAAATTAATTTTAAACACATTATTATGTTTGTGTGATACACTATTGAATTTTAGGTTTCCCTATTGCACTTGCAATATTAAATAAAATATTGAGATTAAAGTACTAAATTGGGAGGCCAGGTAATTTAAACCATATGGGAACTATAGAAGGTTCCTTACTAGGGTCAAAATCAGGATCCCACTTTAGAATTTTCATGGTAGTGCCTCCAATGTGAAGATCTTGTTTTGCAAATAGTCAAGCATAGTTTTCCTCCCCTAAGAGCTGTATAAGAAGATGTCTTCCATCTAGTATTCCACTGCCAATCTCCATTGAATTTTGAAGCAAAGTAATTCCTAACTAATTCCGTTTTGGGGTGGCCAAGAAGAAATTTCCCCACCAAGGTAAATTTTACTTGATCATTTAGGTTATTAATTTCTTGAGGTGAGAAATAAACTGCTTGTTCTCCTTCCTTAGTACCTAAAGGATGAATGCAAGGGTCGTTACCCTTTCCAGCTGCTGTGTCATGGAACTTCTGTGGGAAGACTAAATGTTCAAAATCATTGAGGGAAGCAGTTGATTTATTAACCACCCCTACATAAGTAGCCTTTGCCCATTTAGCCTTTGGCCCATTGAACATCAGTTTCAATATCAATAGGAGTAGCCATATTCCCTAGAAATCACAATCTTAAAGCCACAGTAACAGTAAACCACAAAGAAAAAGTCCAAAGGACTTTATGTGGTATGTACAGGTCAAACCACACTACAAAATTCAAACCAGCAGAGCCCTAAACCAGAAAAGGGAGGGTATCCACCACTGGAGCTAGAGAAAGCTGGGTAAAAACAGAAGAAAATAGTAGAACAGAGGAAGAAGGCCAAAACCCAGAAAAACTCCAATGGAACAGTAAGACCCACCAAAGTCTTAGAAAAAGGAGAGGTAAAAGCACTCCCAAGGTAATAAGAGAAAGAAACCAACTCCCTTGAGAAGAAAGTGGCCAGACATTATTTTAATTTCTTCGCAATCGATATGCTCATTGTAAGGGGAAGGATGCTTTCTTAAATTTGAACTTTCCATCAACAAAAATTTTGTTTAGTTTTCATAATTTTTTTACTTTTGAAACTTCAGTTTTTGTTTTAGTTAACTTTGTCTTTCAACTGCATTTTAAATAGTATTCACTTTAGTAGTTAATATTCAAAATTCTCACTTTATTTTTTTTTTGAAGTTTAAATTATAATTATAATCTTAAGAACTGTTTACAGGAATTTCCAACTTCCCTGTGGGATCAATATCTAGAACTCCATTATAGCCCTTTTTTACTTAAGCGATACATATACTTGCTTTATTTTTAAAGGGGATTTGGTAGTTTAAAAGAGTTTTAAAGATAAGCTACTTTTATTAAAGTTATTTTTTTTGGATTACATTGCATGTTTATTATTATATCTATATTGTGTTTTTTTGTAATATTGAAAAATAATTGCAAAATTAACACACTTAATCTACCCGCATCAAGTTTTTGGCATCGTTGCCAGGGAAGTAATAGAAAGTAATAGTAGTAGTAAGTTATTTTATTTTTTATTTAAAAAAAAGAGTGTTTCTAGTTTAGTTTAAACATTTTCTTGTTTACGTGTGTTTGCTTATTTTAAATTATTTGTTTTGTTTGTTTATGCACAGTTTAAGATATGAAAAGTTAGTACCTTACGGTTCTGAATTAGAATGA